GGAGAGGTGATGAGGATAAGGGTGAGGATGGGAAGGGGATGAGAACGGGGTGGAGATGAAGATAGGGATGGGGATGGAGATGAAGATGAAGATAGGGATGGGGATGAAGATGAAGATGGCAAGGGGATGAGGATGGCGAGGGGATGGGAATTAAGATGATGATATGAAGGGGATGAGGATGGGGAAACCCACCCCTGCCCATGCCACAGGTCTAATTCTTCCTGTGGGGTCGTCACAGCTCATTCATTGCCTTCTCCCCGCAGCCTGAGCCCATGTTGCTGCCCCATAAAAGTGGGGTTCAATGCCACGATGGCTGTGTTGGCATTTTGTAGTTTCATCCCCATGCTGGATCCCTGTACTGCAGCAGCCAGAACAAATAACCCACCTGCGTGTGTGCTGACAGTTAACGGCGGTGGCCAGGTACACAGATTGTGTGTTATGAATAACTTCATCATGTATGGGGTAAACTTGGTGGGAAAGGGCAAACCTCTGCCCCTGCCCATCCCAAGTTTGACATTCAGGTCCGAATCCCATGGGAGAGTCTATGGTCTTTGCTGGTTTTGCTCCCTGGCTTCCTCCGCAGTTGCCGTTGGGCAATCCCAGCGTATTTCTTTTTCCAGCAACTCCTTCTCTCCTCTGGTAATGTGTGAAAGTCCAGCCCAGAGGGGAAGCTGAGTCACCCGGCAGAGGAATGGTGAAACAGCATTGGTACAAAACAAGCCGAGAAAACCCAGAAGCGATTTCCCTTTTTAGAGGTGTAATGAAAAGAAAGGGGGTGGAAAAAGGGAGGGTGAAGATTTGGAGAGCTGCGCACTCTGGCCGGGGCGTTGCTCACAGCCCTGTGCTGGTCACTCGTTTAAAAATATCCAGATTTCCTTTTGTAAATAAAGAGGACAATAATATTTCCTTTGGAGGGGGGCTCAAAGTGAGGAAAATACTGGTGACTGCTTTGGCTGAAGGACAAAGTGCTGGGTGGAAAACAAGTAAAGGTGCAGCATGTGGGAGCCAGGCGGTGCGTTGAGAGTGTGTACATTGCCTGGGAATTTGCACAGTCAAGGCCTAAATGAGTGGCTTTCCTGGATTTATAAAAATTTTAGTTCAGACTCTTGCTGTAGAGCTGCTTTAGGGACACCAGAGAAGGGAGAAAGGGCTGTGCACGGAGTTAGCTGCAGGCATCTCCCAAAGCACACTGGGCAAATTCAGTTTCCCAAAAGAAACAACACTGAGAAACACAGATAAAATTACTTGGAGTAAAATCCGCCTTGGTTTGGTACAGCTGGTGTGACGCACAGGTCCCACCTTTGACTCAGCCTCTGGTTACAGCTCTCAGCAAGCTGCAGCTATTTGCTATTTTTTTGGGGCTATTTGCTTTGGACAAGCTGCAACACAACGGCGCTGCGGTGTGCCAGCCCCGGGGGAAAATTAGGTGGAAGCAGCCTCTCCTCCCAAATTCATCATCTGCGCCACTGGCTTTGCATTTTGGGGGGGATCGGACCTTTTGATACAACCAGCTGCATTATAGAATTGCTGTCCCAAAGGGACCCATCAGTCCCTTTATCGAATATCATGTTTATGGAATAATTTCGATCCAAGCCGTTGATGCAGGGGGGATGTTCCTGTTGCTGTTGCAGGATGTGAAGTAGCCAGGGCTGTGGGTTCAAGGGGCACGAGGGCTCTGGCCGCTGGCGTTGGCAGCCCCAGGGAGCCAGGACATGGTTTTGTTGCCGAGCAAAGCGGCCGAACGCACGGCGGCTCCCGAACTGTTGGAAGTTTCGCTATGGTCACCCTACAAGCACATCCGCTGCTGCTCATTTGTCTGTTAATTAGTGTTGTGCTTAGCAAGAGGCGGCTCTGACATAGGAAAGGGTCTTTTCAAGATCTTGGAAACTGGTTTTGGTGCTAGGCAGGGGTGCTGGAAGGTGGTGAATGCTTTCCTTGGCTGGCACTTGCCCCAATAGCCACGTGGTTGTCTCTGGTGTTGGCAGCCCCCGGGGTCTCTGCAGGACTCAGCAATTAATTTGCAATGTGACTTAATTTCTTTTCCAATCTCTTTGGCCGAGGGTCTGCATCCTCTGAGAGACAAAGAGGTAGTCTGTCCCACTGCTCCCTTTAATGTGCTTTGTTGGAGGTAAAAGTGGCTCCTGTCCCTTCATTGTGACAAATTTCACTTGTTAGCACCAAAGTGAGAAAGAGGTCCCGGGGTTCCAAAACGGGGTTGATGCTTGGTTGTTGCATCTTACAGACAGCTGCAGTCGGGGTTTCTCCTCTCCATTAACTCCAGATCATATTGCTGTAGCCTAAATAATAAAAATAATCCTTCAGAAGGTTATCGTGCCGGGTCTGGAGGCTGCTGAGCACTGTGTTTGGGAACAGCCGCTCCTCCAGCCCATCCTGGGTGGCTGTTTTGTCACTCGTGGCCTTGGGAGCAGGAGATGTCTCTCGGGGCTGTAACTCAGTGCTGATTTGATAAGGAGGGACGCACAGATCAGGGTCGCATGGAGGAAAGCACAGAGAGCCTGAAGTTCTGTGCATTAAAGGGTGGATTAAAGTCACGGTCATTAAATTAACGGGATTAAGCCCATGAATCAAGATGCTGTTTTGCACAGTGCTCAGCACTGCTGGTAGCAGCCACCAGCCTGGCTCGGGCAACCTGAGCAGCATCTAAGGAGCCCCTTGCTACCTGTAGTAACTGCAGAGCAATGCATGCAATCCCTCTGAGCACCTGTAGCAGTAGGGATTTCGGTGCTCGCACAAGGGCTGTGCAGTGCAATAGGGGTGAGCCCCAGCTCCTCACATGGAGTGACCAGGATCTTCCACCCTGCTTGGGAAGGACTGCCCAAAGTGGGGGTACTTGCATGGAGCAGGTTGGGCTCAGGGGCTGACAACCAGTGCAGCTGGGAAGAGGTTGGCAAGTGTAAAAATGAGACATAAAAGGCTGTTTTGAAGAAACCCCGTGGGAGTAGGGCTGTGCTGTGGGGTTGCTGTGCTGCAGGGATGATGTTTGGGGCCCATGGACCAGACTGGGCAGCTCTACAGGTCCTTTATAGACTCATAGACTCATTGAGGTTGGAAAAGCCCTCTAAGACCATCAAGTCCAACTGTCAAACCAACCCCACCATGGCCACTAAACCATGTCCCCAGGTGCCACATCCACACAGTTTGTGAACCCCTCCAGGGATGGGGACTCCACCACTGCCCTGGGCAGACCCTTCCAGTGCCTGACCACTCTTTCAGTGAAGAAATGTTTCCCAATATCCAACCTAACCCTCCCTGGCACAACTTGAGGCCATTTCCTCTCGTTCTCCTTCCTCTCATTCGGTTTGCAGGTCCCCGGGATGTCCAGCCCTTGGTGCGGTGGCAGCAGGACCTTCTCCTGCATCTCCAGCCCCTGCAGCCCTGGAGCAGCTCTGTCCCACCAGCCAGCACATTCCCTGCGAGCCTGCGGCAATCTGCAGACCATATGAATAAATATTACAAAAAATGTAGGCGGATGTGATAATATTTATGCCCTAGCAGGTCTCCATGCCGGTTGCATAAGACGTTGTGTATTATTTCCATCCCCTTTGCCTCCCTGAGCAGGCAAGCTGCCAGCGGCAACGTATGGGCAGCAACAAAAAAACTTGGCATTGATGAAAAAGGTATTTTCTGCTCCGAGCAAAGAGATGATCAGCA